ATATATATATATGAGTGAATACTTTTTGAATAAAAACTGCCAGTCTACCTGATAACCTATGAATGTCAGGCCGTGTCCTGCTGGAGTCCACGGCATTTCACCCATCGAGTCGACAAAGCTGCTCCCCGCCTGCTGGTCTGATCCTTGACACATAAACTGTGAGCTGTTGCCCAAAGGATAAGGTGATCCCCAAACAAAAACACAAGTCATTTGAAGTGAGACTGATGAGAGTGTAGAATAGCTACAGTGTTGCAGATGGGACAATGGTTTACCTGACAGAGTTCTCTACAGATGAGTCTGTGCCGTTGGGTCCGTTTAACAACTCAGGCTCTGCATCACGCTGATATTGATTCAGGAAAAGCCAACAGTGGTTCACAGAGGAAGTCTGACATCTAATCATGTTTCATCTCAGCTTTTATCATCACAATCCTTACGCACAACATTAGCCAAAACGTTAACATAAACCTCGTGCCCTTCTTCTTACACCAAAAGGTTAACCAGCCACACTATTCTTTAAGAGTTAAACAGGAGCCTACAATTATTTAGCTGAAGAATGCTGGAATTTGCAATCTTACATGCCAACAAACAACAGTTAATGCCACAGTGATGGATACTGCCACAGCATCGTTGGAAAACAAACCTCTAAAAGCGACTGTAAGACCTCCTGGCGATGCTTTTCCTGGGCTCGTATATGCTCAGCATGCTGCAGTCATAAAAAAAGAGAGAAAACAAAAAATAATTACCAACAAAAGGTTTCAAACCTGGATAATGTACCATTCCTTAAGACACTAATAATGCTGAAAAAATGACTCTATGGATGAAAACAGTCTCTAAGTAACTACATCTGCATTTCAAAGCTGACTTTCAGATGTTGAGATGCTGGAAAATTCAGCAATAAATTGAACTGAACATTTAAAACACCTCTATATATGCAACTATATTAGCATTTATCAATACTGTGCTTCACTAGTCCAAAAACAGATTGCTATGTGTAGTTCATTTAAAAACAATGTTGCAAAACCTGTTTAATGTATTCATCCTCCTTTTCCACAAATGATTCCAATGCCTTTGCCACCTCAACTTTAAACCTAAAGAAAAATACAGAACAGTCAATGCAGATACATTTAATTTTACAAACAAACTTTAATAATGTCTGAATACTTTTGGCTCAGTAGGTCTACCTTTCCGTTTCCTCTTCTGTGACGATGACTTTGTCTCTAAACTTCGGGTCAGCTTTATTGTCCCACCAGAACTTGTGTGTATTCTTCCTGTGTTCTGGGCTGAAATAAAATATAGTTGAACAACTTTAAATACACTCTCATATAAATTTATATGAAAAAATAAAGCAGGTGTACTATATTCATTCAGCAAATATTTGGGAAATGTATGTTTCGTGGTCAAATGGGTTTTGGTGACCTCTGGACATATTACATATTTTTGTTGCATGTGTAGGTTTGGGAAACATCTTAAAGATATTTTGAAAACTCAACTTGCAAGTTGGCACATAAACAGGAAGAAATGGAAACAGTAATTCAGGCGTCAGCGTTTTCTTCCTGATTGTGTCTTATCAGTCACTTAAGGATCTTTCCTGTTTCATCACATGTAAGCAACTAACCCTATCCTTCTTCTTTACAACAGCATGTGTATACACAGCCAGTTAAGTAATACGCATTTAAATGCAGTTTATATGAAAAAAAAAAAAACAACAACAGTTTTTTGAAACTGTGTTAAAACACTTTTCCAGACATGGATTGCTTTAAAACAGCAGAGGAAATTGAAGCAATCTGAGCAATCAAAGGCAATCAAAATGGTTCCAGACAAAACAAAATACAGTGAATAAAACCACTCACGTGGCCATGTGTTCTAACAGGCCTCCATAAAGGACAGTCATGTTGCCATCTGTAACGTTTTTCTCAATTTCACACCCACAGCAGTAGCACCAGAATGTCTGCTTGTGCTGGGTGCAATCAAACTTTTCTACTTGGGGTTTCTTAAGTGTTCGGCGAGCTTCCTTCACCTGGGAGACAGTGGATGAAACAGATGTAGAAAACTGACAAAGTTAGACTCTGATTGGAGCTAAAACAGTTTCACACAACTCTACGATTGTATTTAAATATTACTTTTTATTATTATTCAAATTAAAAAATACAAATTAAAAAAATATATATAATCAGTTTGGAGAGTGTAGTTTGTGGTGCTGTTGAATTATATAGGGTTATATATATATATATATATATATGTATATATATATATATATACACACATATATATATATGCTTACAAAACAAAAGAACTAAAAGAGCTGATTCAGGAAACGCTAACAGTAGTTCACAGAGGACGTTTAAACAGCTCAGATTGGCCTTGTTGACTCCCATCTCTAAATAAGATGACATTTACTAATGGCAGTATGTCAGTGTTTATCTGTCGATTTTGTGTTGTTTCAGATCAAGGCTGCATTGGCTAAATACAAGATAATGTGATAAAACTCTAAAAGACTTAAAAACAACTTTATAATGAGGATGTATTTATTTCACTGGTAAAAGAGGACAGGAATAAATAACAAGAAAATCCCCAAACAACTGCTACTAACATGTGCAAATCTCCAACTACAGTGTACATACAAACGAAATAGACCAAAATTACTGACATGCAAAGACATACTATGCAAGTATGTACATTACAGTATTTGAGGACATATATAAATGAACTGTTTAAATATTTGTTTAAATAAATTGTTTTAGGGAACGAGTCTGAATCCTTACTGATAAAGAAAAATATATGTAATATACATGATAATAAATCAGATTATATTACTGTCCGATTTCAAAGAAATATAACAGTAATATCATAATGATATATACAGATGTTGTATATCGAGTAAAAACAAATTGTTAAAATATATAATACACAATCAGAAAAATATAATATTAATAATAATAATAATAATAATAATAATAATAATAATAATAATAATAATAATGATGATGCTTTAAAGTTATTTAAGTTGTATCGTGCATTAGATATGAAAGGATGATCTCAAGCTACTTAATCAGAAGCAGGGCACATTACGCGTGGCGTGCTGGTGGTATTATGATTATTGTGAATACTGACGCACCTCATGGTGGCCGTTCTGTAGACTTAAAATCATATACATATAATAAGGAAGATAATGGACTCACAATATTTCGCTACACAACTTGGGAATCATACTTTTTAATGTTACTCGGAAGGAAAACAGTTCAATCTAAGATTTTAACAACAGTTTGTCTCCATCACTTCTACCAGGGTCAGATCATGCTGCACAAAACACAGACTACTTTCAATATCAAATATCAGTTAAAAAAAATCTATGATCGGCATACCTTTTCTGTGAATTTAAGGAGAACCACTCTGAGTCGACTTTGATGAGTTTTTCCGAAAATGTGTCCCTTCCCGTTGAATGTTGTTTGTCTACAAATGGCACAGTAGTGTGCACCCATTTAGATTCTGTGGAAGTTACCAAACATATACCGAAACCGAGATGAAACCAGATCCGGCCTAAAACCAAACGTAACAGTTTTATCTTTGTTTATCTCGTATCCCCCTTCACCACAGCAACTACCCCTCATAGCTTAGCGTAAGTTAGCCTTTGCTGCAGGACGTAGTTCCGTCCCGAAATACTTCCCCCTTGAAGCAGAGGAACGGGCTTTGTGTTAAGACTTTCACAAGTCTTTGAAATGACTTTTAGTACTACGAATATTGGTAATATTTAAAGTAGACTATATACCAAAAGCGGAGTAAGATCATAGATAGTAGAGGCACAGCCTTCTTGCTAAATGAAAAGGCAACAAGTAAAGGCGGAACGGAGAGCTGCCTGACTTTCAGTGTCGGAACACTGTACGAGCCAGTGGAAGTAACGTGGAGAGTGAGAAGATCAGTGACAATCAGACAGCAGCAGTATTCATGCTCAGAAAGAGCACTACTGATGAGACATTTGCTTTGAGTGGATGCTCAGGCATCTCCGCCGTTACATTTTAACGAAACTACCTCGTGCCAAGTCTTAAAGATACGTAGTATAATTACAGCAGCGCAGAGAAAAATAACTAAAAGTCCCCGTGAAAGCGACTGGAATAGATCAACTACTAGGAGGGAGAGGAATGAAAGGGTGAACTCGCTTCCAAAGCCGGATCTTCTAGTGTGACACCGAGCAGAAGTAAACAGAAACTGGGCTGGTGGCGTAAACATCGACTTGTGCGTAGGAACAATATATGTGTAACAAGGCAATTATGCCTTCAGTTCAGCATTTTAGACAGTTTTTCAACGAGCGACTAGCTGCTGCTGCTGAAGAAATATTCAGCGCTTTTGAAAAAACTATCCTCGAGTACGAAGAAGAGATCAGCCGTCAGCGCAGGCTGCTGGACATCGCCTGGAAACCTGCGGTGAAGTTACCCAGGATAGGTCCGCAACACCTTAATTACACGTTTGATATAATTTGCAGTTAAATAATGGAGGCTTTAGACTTATATTAGATCCTGTTCGTTTAAAGTCCTGTTAGTTTGTTTTCTTTATCCCAACAGGGTTGTGAGGATGGGAATATGGACGTGCCTCTATTACCACAGCACGTGTCGAACCGACCTCAGTCTATAATCTTTGTCAGTGTGAGAGAAAAACTGGGAGTCGGTGTTTGCTAAGCATTTTTTTCTATTCTTAAATGTTTTAGTTTTTTTGATCAGTCAAAACGGAAGAAAATCTGAAATTTATTCTACAACATTGTTTAAAATATCAGATTTGGCAACATGAAATTGAGCGGCAACTACAATGCTATTTATTTGTTTCAAATCCCTTCCACCTCAAACGTGTTTTATTGGGTAGTTTTCTTTATTTTACTTTTTTTCTGTTACTGACATTGGATTACACACACCAGTATATGGAATATTTATGAACTTTTTAGGTGGGTAGCAAAATCTGTGTAGTTTCTGTCAGTGTGTGACTTTTTGTTTGTTTGTTTGTTTCACTTATCCCGCCAGAGCTCCCACATCAGCTTGCCTGTAAAGAGGAGGAGGTTCTTGCCTCTGACCAGCAGCCCATTTTCCAGGAGAGGAACCCCAGGTTGGATCAAGAGGTTAAAGGGGAACTCTGCACTAGTCAGGACAGAGAGCATCTTGTACTGAAGCAGGAGACTGATACTTGCATTGTGCCTCTTACTTATGAGAAAGGTGACAACGCTGAAGATCAGACTTTGAGATTGAATCCGAGTGAATTAGTAAGTGCAACAGAAAAACAGTCCTTAGTCAAAATATCTATTAAAACCTCAGAGGAAGCAGAGCTAAATACCAACCACCAGCTCTTTTCTCACAGTTCCTATTTATCTAAAAGCCCTGACAAAGAAGACGAGCCTGAGGATTGTATGTCAATTGGAAATGCAGAGACAAAACCACAGAAGATAAGTCACAAAGGCTATCATATACATAATCCTGCAATGTTGATTAATTACTGTAAAACACACGCAAGTAAAAAGTCTTTCAAATGTGACACTTGTGGAAAAACATTTCCATTTAATTCCAAATTAATCAGACACCTGCGAATCCACACGGGCGTGAGGCCATATTCTTGCAACATCTGTGGTAAAAGATTCAATCAGACATCCATACTGAACGTTCATAAACGAATCCACACAGGCGAGAGGCCGTATTCTTGCAACATTTGCGGAAAGAGATTTAACCAGACGTCAATACTGAACGTCCATAAAAGAACTCACACGGGCGAGAAGCCATTTTCTTGTAACATCTGTGGTAAAAGATTTAATCAGAAGTCAATACTGGATGCTCATGTCAGAATCCACACAGGCGAGAAGCCCTTTTCTTGCAAAACATGCGGGAAATGTCTCAGGAGTCGTTCTACTCTGTTGGTTCACATGAAAAAAACACACGGGCGAGCAACCGTATTCTTGCAAAATATGTGACATTTCAAATGCAGCTATCTTGTAAGTCCATGTGTGAAGCCAGACGTTTGCCAGACTATATGTAAAAGAAACGGCACACGAAAAATCTGCATTTTATAATTTTTGTGTGCAGCAATTATGTGAAATGATTCTTTTATGCATCGAGCTTGATACGGTATCTAAGGCTACATTCGTTCGACTAAGTGTTTGTATATGCAAATATAGATATAATATAGAGTTTCAGTTTTTCACTTCAAGACTAAAACAAACCACTAATATTTAATTACACCTCAGTCTTATACTTCAACGCTTACATTTGATAATAAGTGTTAGGACTTTTTAAAAAGCATTAACCTGTTTAGGGGATACACAAATAAGGCAGAGCCATCAGCTGTGGGCACAAATGGGTCATGGCACACTCATTCGTTGAGCACAGATGGAAAAGTCCCACTTATAGAAAACTACATTCGGCTGCTTCATTGACACAAGGCGTAGCCACAGCGGATTTTTAGAGGGGACTGTAAAAGGGATTTATGATTTGTTTTTCCCCCGCTCTGCCTTGCAGATTGGTTGTGGGGTCTGATATATGAAAAGCTGCTCCTCCTTGTCTCCAAACACCTCTTTGGTGACTGTAGCTAGGGCTGTTCGATATAACGATATATATCAGATGACGATATAAAAACGTCTATCGTTTCATTTTACGCTATCGTTTGTTTCGTGGTGTCGCAAAATAAACTGTTTATGGCAATATTTTTTCATCGTTTTGATGGTCACTGTAGTGGCTATATTAATTTCTTAGAGTTCTCTCTTTTTCTTATATTTTATATAACCACACTACGGAAGGACAAGCGCCTGTTTTTATGCGTTGTGGTTAGCAACAACGACGGTAACAGCATCGCGTGTCTGCTTGTTTATGTTCCACATAAACCTTTCACAATAAAGCTCAAGATCCTGTTGAGACTTTTCAAAATAAACTGAATCACATGAAAGAGCAGATTGTTTACGGATGAGAAGTAAAAAAGAGTCGCCAGGTGCTAAAAAATAGACCTTAGACTCAAACGTTAGAACAGGCTTTTCCCCGCAGCACGCCGTGTAATAAATACTCACAAAGAAAACGGCGGCCGTTACAACTTATGTCTAAAAATGTGTAGTTTTATGCATCGGTTAAAACACTCAACTCCAGCTACATGAAGCGCAGCTGGAAACACTTCCCCCAAGATGAGCTGCCCGAGATTTTTACAGAAAATGTTACATTTTTGTGATTTATATCGTTATCGACGATAGAATTCTTATATCGGGATATGAGATTTTGGTCATATCGCACAGCCCTAACTGTAGCTACAAAACCCCAGTTTTGATTTCTTGACCCAGTCACCACATGACTGTTGATGTCGACTTTTGTTATAAGGGTGTACGTCAGGACCATGTTGGCATTTTAGGTCTCAGTGATGCATGATGCTCATTCACTCACGTGTCAGCAAAACCTTCCTGCAGCTCCTTTTCAAACACATAAGGGTTTGGAATAGTAGATTTTCATGCTTGAAGTGCCTTCATGTCTTTATATCCATCTCTTGCATCGTATAAATTCTTTTTACAAGTCTGTTCACAGTATTTGTCAGCTGGTCAAATTTCAGCTGGCAAACTAATACCACTTGCTGCTTCGGCTGGCTTCGAAGGCCTAGAGTTCCTGCCTTTAGAAGAAGACATGCACACGCCACAGTGTCTGTATTAAATAAAATATCTCTAATTGTAACAGTATACGCCATTTTTCTCTGTGTGCCTGAATGTTTGTATGCAACTGTACGTCTTCTTTTCGAGAGCTCATGAATATTTGTTTTGTAACTTCATTGCTTTTTTGTGTTGGTGTTGTTTGTTAAAGTCCAAAAGTAAAAGTATCTAGTAACAGTGTTGCGAAATACCCATCACAATTTCATATAACTCCAGCTGATGTTTGGAGATATTTTATTTTGTTTAGCGAGGAGCAAAAATGTGCACAGTTCAGTGTGACACAAGGTGATTGGATTGAAATGTTCCCAGTTAAACGTTTAGCAGTTAGAGCCAGACTATGTTTGGTGTTTCTCTTTACAAACAGTAACTGTTTAGCTTATTGCTCCTGATTATTGATCCATTATATCATTTAAAAGGAAATGCAGTACAGCAGGCTGTCTCTCAGTGTATTTCTGCTGTAATTGTGAATGGGATGCTGTGTGGAACTTTTGAAAGCACTGAAACCCTCAACATGAATTTGTTAATTACAACATATTTATATCTGGCTTTATTGTTTTTATTCTGAGGCTGCTCTACATACCTCAGGCCAGCCTAGCATTCATTAGGTTACAGGTGAATGTTTCTACTTTATGGTAACACAGTGAAGCCTTTTACTTGTCAGCGTTACAGTTTCCCTGTTAACAAATGGTAGAAACAACAAAACTGAAATACTTACAGAAGTTATAGTATTGTTTGCTTTTCTTTTATTTTTAGCTTTTCTCTTCTCTTCTTCTTCTCTTCTTTTCACTTAGTAAATTTGCACGCCAGTATACACTATTACATATATATATATAGCACATAGCAAGGGCTGATTTTAGCTAACCTCTTGTAACGTGTACTGTAGAGAAAAACGGTTAAGATACATGATGCTGGATCTAAATGTACAACATGTTTATGTCTTTATCAAACTTGCGTGTTGTTTAACTAATGAATGAAGTTAATAGTTGCTGTTTAAAATTAGTTAAGGGGATTGATTTATTGAAGTAACAATAGGCAATAAAGGTAGCATTGCCCAGTCAGTATTTTAGGCTATATAACTTGTTTTACTGTATTCATCTGCATTTATAGATATTTAGATACCAAAAAGAATCCTAAGAGCCATCTATGCAGTCTGAAAGTCTTTGGTGTTTTGTGTTTATTTTGTTCTTTGCAGTATTTGTC